GTACTGTATATCCATTATTTTCTGTTCCTTTCTGTGTTTGTATACTGTATTTAGAACCTTGTTTAAATCCCTTTTATCCACTTCTATTCGGTACTGTATTTCAGTCATGTCACTCCATACTGTCTTTCTATGAGTGTGAAAACCAAATTTTTTTTTTAATCTCTTCATAAATGAGGTTGCTAATTCCTGGGATTAATTTTGTCATCTTTCTCTGTTCTCATGCAAGGGAATTTTATGTCCATTCTATAGTATGGAGATCAATACTGAACCATGTAAAAGCTCTCCGAAAATTACAGTTGAATCAGAACTAATAACTGTTTTTTTATTAAAGGAAAATTTTGAAACTAAAACAGTAGTTTGGCCAACATCAACAAACTGTATGCTAGTATCCAACTGCACCTCCAGATGGCAGTTCAGGTCACTCAAGGGTTCAATCTCCATATGTACCTTACATATGTGCCATCTCAAAAATGCCCTCCAGTTTCCATAGAAGAATTGTGGGAACTATACGTAAAGAAAGGGGCATTTCATTACGTTCAACACGTGATTTCTGGGCATACTGCGGATGGTTTCTTGGAGAGGAAACTGTCGATGAGCTAACAGAAGTAGATTAGTAAAATGATTCTCACCCTTAGCCATGGGGTGAGAAGGCGAAGAAGGGACTTGGCAACTGGAAAGACATAAAGCCAACACTATTAAGACCACAGAAACCCCAAGCCTGAATATTAGCTATAAACATACTAGTTAAGAAAGCAGTAACACCATTATATTTGTGCACATTATCTGTATGTGAGAAAACATCAAGGCAGAATTAGTAAGGATAACCAGATAAAGTCTGACCTTGGAACAAGGTAACAAAGAAATAGGATTAACAAAGAGCAACATCACAAGAAGCAGGAGTAATGAGAATAATTTATTGAGACTATTTTGTAGGAGGGAAAAGGTGTTTCTTTGGCTCTAATGGAGTTATAATTTTCTAGGAAGACATTTTTTTATCCCAATGTACAGTACCTGGTTTTCCTAGGGTCTTAAAGTGGGACCAGGAGGTGTACAAATTTGACCTACCTTCTGAAAAGTTATGACTTCCCTTCCATCCATAAAAAAAAAATCTCACTCAAACCTCCAGTACAGTATATTATATGTGTGTAAATCACAAAAATTAACACGTGATGAAAAATGTGATAAGTGTCAGACCACGGAGGAAGAATTGAAACAGGAATTTCATTAAGTACTTTCGTATATTAATACATCTTCAGAAGGAATGAATATATATACAGTATTATACTGTGTGTGTGTGTGTGTTTACTATTTGTGTCTGCAGAATAGTTATTAGCGCTTGGACCCTGCCTTTCTAACCAATCTATTTTCCTCTATTATACCTACTACATATATTTCTATCTAACATGCACACACACACACACATCCCCAGGAAGCAGCCCATAGCAGCTGTTTAACTCCCAGGTACCTATTTACTGCTAGGTGAATAGGCGCATCAGGGCGAAAGAAACATTGCCCATTTTTTCCGCCTCCGCCACGAATTGAACCCAGGCCATAAGGACTATGACCCCCAAGCACTATCCACTCAGCCGTGTGTATAATATATATATATAATGACAGTGTCAGACCACGGAGGAAGAATTGAAACAGGAATTTCCTTAAGTACTTTCGTATTTAATAATACATCTTCAGAAGGGTATTATTAAATAAGAAAGTACTTAAGGAAATTCCTGTGTCAATTCCTCCTCCATGGTCTGATCCTGTGACATTTTTCATCACGTGTTAATATTTGTGATTTACACGCACGCACGCACGCACTCACTCACTCACTCACTCACTCACTCACTCACTCACTCACTCACTCACTCACTCACTCACTCACTCACTCACTCACTCACTCACTCACTCACTCACTCACTCTTTAATCAGAGATGTAGGCTAGCTAAGCAGCAAAGTAAAAGGGCATGAGAAACTATAGGAATAACAGGACACTGGAGAGCAGAGAAAGATACCGGAATGCCAGGAATGAATATGTCAGGATGAGAAGAGAGGCAGAAAGACAATACGAAAATGACTTCGCAAGCAAGGCAAAGACTCGGCCTAAATTGCTGCATAGCCACATCAGGAGAAAAGCAACAGTAAAGGAACAGGTTATGAAATTAAGGATAGGGGCAGAAGGATTCACTACAAACAAGGAAGTTTGTGAGGAACTGAATAAGAAATTCCAGGAGGTCTTCACCTTAGAGCAAGGAGAAATCCCAGAGATAAGAGAGGGAATAGCTAACCAGGAAAGCTAACCAGGAACCACTGGAAGAGTTTGAGATTACCAGCGGGGAAGTAAGGAAGTGTTTACTAGAGTTGGATGTGACAAAGGCTATCGGCCCAGAAGGAATCCCCTTGGATACTAAAGGAAGGAGCAGAAGAACTGTGCCTACCACTCTCCATAGTGTATAACATATCACTGGCAACAGGGGAGCTGCCAGAAATTTGGAAAGCAGCTAACGTAGTCCCGATATACAAGAAAGGGGATAGACAAGAGGCACTGAATTACAGGCCAGTGTCCCTAACCTACATACCATGCAAGCTGATGGAGAAGATTGTGCGAAGAAAGCTAGTGGAGCACCTGGAGCGAAAGAACTTTGTAACACAGCATCAACATGGGTTCAGGGATGGCAGGTCCTGCCTCACAGGGTTACTTGAATTCTACGACCAGGCAACAAAAATAAGGCAAGAAAGAGAAGGGTGGGCAGACTGCATATTTTTGGATTGTCAGAAAGCCTTTGATACAGTGCCACACAAGAGGCTAGTGAAAAAGCTGGAGATGCAGGCTGGAGTGAAAGGGAAGGTACTCCATTGGATAAAGGAGTACCTAAGCAACAGGAGACAATGAGTCTGTGTGAGGGTTGAGGTCTCAGATTGGCGAGACGTTACAAGTGGAGTCTCGCAGGGGTCAGTCCTTGGACCTATACTGTTTCTGATATATGTAAATGATCTCCCAGAGGGTATAGAATTGTTTCTCTCAATGTTTGCTGATGATGCAAAAATTATGAGGAGGATTGAAACTGAGGACGATAGTAGGAGGCTACAAGATGACCTAGACAGACTGAGTGAATGGTCCAACAAATGGCTGTTGAAGTTCAACCCGAGTAAATGCAAAGTAATGAAACTAGGCAGTGGAAACAGGAGGCCAGACACAGGATACAGAATAGGAAATGAAGTACTTAATGAAATGGACAGAGAGAAAGATCTAGGAGTTGATATCACACCAAACCTGTCTCTTGAAGCCCACATAAAAAGAATAACTTCTGCGGCATATGCGAGGCTGGCTAATATCAGAACAGCGTTCAGGAACCTGTGTAAGGAATCATTCAGAATCTTGTACACCACATATGTAAGACCAATCCTGGAGTATGCGGCCCCAGCATGGAGCCCGTACCTTGTCAAGCACAAGATGAAGCTGGAAAAAGTCCAAAGGTATGCCACTAGACTAGTCCCAGAACTAAGAGGTATGAGTTATGAGTTTACCTGCCCGAAACGCTGCGCGTGCTAGTGGCTTTACAAGACTGTAATTACCATATTTGTATCCTCACATTCCTTATGTACATTCTTGTATATGCATAAATAAATAAATAAATAAATAAATAAATAAATGAGGAAAGGCTGCGGGAAATGCACCTTACGACACTGGAAGACAGAAGAGTAAGGGGAGACATGATCACAACCTACAAAATCCTCAGAGGAATTGACCAGGTAAATAAGGATAAACTATTCAACACTAGTGGGACGTGAACAAGGGGACACAGGTGGAAACTGAGTACCCACATGAGCCACAGAGACGTTAGAAGGAACTTTTTCAGTGTCAGAGTAGTTAACGGATGGAATGCATTAGGCAGTGATGTGGTGGAGGCTGACTCCATACACAGTTTCAAATGTAGATATGAAAGAGCCAAAGCTCAACCCCCGCAAGCACAAATAGGTGAGTACACACACGCACGCACGCACACACACACACACACACACACACACACACACACACACACACACACACACACATACATTTTGAATATTTAAGTAATTATTATATATCACGCCATGAGTCCCAGGAAAGTCAGTGGTAAGGCTCAACATATGAGATCCCATTTAAGGATGACCATAGAGCAGAAAAAAGAGGTCATTCATAAATATGAAGGTGGTGTGCGGGTTGTTGGACTGGCTAGGCAGTACAACAAATCTCAGTCAACGATATCCACCATACTGGCTAAGAAAAGGACATTATGGGTGCTAAAGTGATGCATCATTACAGACAAATGTTAAAACGAAGGGAAAAACAAATGTCTCTTGACAAATTTGTAGCGAGACAAACAAGCACTGAACCACAACCAGGTCCTAGTGGTATTCAGGCAAAACGTAGGAGAGAGAGTACCCCAGAGAAAACATCACTGCCTGATGTGATAATGGAAGGGGACTTCCCTTCCAAACAGTAACAACTCTCCTCCTCCCCCATCACCATCATCCATACGCCATCAAGAGCCCTCCATAAAGGTAAGATAAACTTAGGAACTGTATTGTAGTTAGAAAAAACATTGTATTCAGTATAAAATGTATTTATATGTTAATATTTTGGAGGGTGGGGAATGGATTAATTCAAATCCCTTTATTTCTTATGGGAAAAATCACTTTGACTTACGATATTTCGACTTACGATCCGTCTCTGGGAACGGATCAGCATCGTAAGTCGAGGCCCCATTGTGTGTGTGTGTATATGTGTGTATGTATGTATGTATGTATATATACTGTATACAGTATATATCTATCTCGAGTGGCGAGACACTGTCACATTTTTCATCACGTTAATTTTCGTGTATATATAATACACACATACACTGTACTCTAAATATAATAGTTTTTATTTTGTACTGTATGCATATATACACATACAATACAGTACTGTAATTAGAAAATATGATTATCTATTTAATACAGTATTGCCTTTATATTTCTAGGTGGGTGGTGAAGAGATAGATTTGTCAGTACAAGCAGAAGACTGGCCACCATGGACATACCCCTGCCAGATGAGATCCCTCTCCCTGGTGGGGTTAGACCACCAAGAGGACCACCGAGAGGACCACCACCTCCTATGAGACAGGGAGGGGGAATGCTTGCCAACCCTAGACCAACTCAGATCCTTTTACCTCCTGGCCCACCACCAGATATGTCGGTGCCACCGCCCATATTCAACATACCACCGCCATTCATGACCACTCCGCCTCCACGACTGCCAGGACCACCTCCTATGTTCGGTAGAATGCCTGGGGATATCTTTCCTCCTCCCGTTGCAGAAAGGTGAGTCATGTGGTTATGTATACTTATTAATTAATTGTAAATTGAATGGACTAGAGGAGAGTGTTAACACAACTCTATACATAATTTAAATTGTAACTGCTATGAAAAGTGAGAGAATAGTCATTGCACTAACCTGGTAATGGTTGCAAAGTATATGTTTGGAAGTCGATGCTTGATCCTTAAAGCATGCAGGCAGTGAGTCACAATAACGTGGCTGAAGTATGTTGACCAGACCACACACTAGAAGTTGAAGGGACGACGACGTTTCGGTCCGTCCTGGACCATTCTCAAGTCGATTGTGGAGCTATCTAAGCAAATACACAGGCCATCAGGTGCTGTAATATTTGGATTGGGAGTGTGTAACCAATTTTGGATTGGGAGTGTGTAGCTTTGTACTAGCAGCACGTGATGATATTTTAACTTACATCCACATACAGTAGTACAGTACAGTGCTCCTGAGGCTTATATGTAGCATACCTATTATGATTGAAGGCTGAAGAGAAACAATCTTCGTCCACATGGTTTTATTCTCGACCAATAACAACAAAACAATTATCAGGTACATGAAATATTATTAACAAGATCATAAACAAAAGAGCATCTGCTCCAAACATGCTACCTCCAACATCTGTAGTACTCAATCCCAACAATACCTATATCCCTTAGGGTAGTTTATGGTTGATCTATAGTCCAGATGTCTTACTCCTTCCCAACAGCTCCTCCATTAGGGGGATGGCCACAGCAGAAGTTTCCTCAAGGCTATATGTGAGGAGGTGAGGGGGGAATATAAACATGTAATAATGGAGAATGAAATTTATGGGCTTTTCAAGTCATTTCATATGGTCTGCGGTGGAGTTGGTTGGGGACTCCTCACTTCTGCCACATCTCTATTCATCTGGGGTTCAGGGGTTAGGCTTTATTGTAAGGCAGCAGCATTAGCATTTTCCAGTTCTTTCATTTGGCTTGAATTTGGCTCAATGTGTGTTTTTACCAGGTTGGCTCGGGTTGTGGTGACTTGTCTTCACTTGTTGGGGGTTTATGTTCTGGCATCTTTTGCAGATGACACAAGAATCAGGATGAAAACAGTCATGCCGACCATGTAACTGTTTTCACTTATATGTCCTGGCCTATTATTCAGGTTGGGGGGAAGGGAAGGGGGAAGCTGGCGGTTTCCCAGGGATTTCGGGCCTCGTTTCCCTTGTGCTGAGTTGGGTGTTTCCCTGTTTTCTTTTCTGTGGGTAGTTAGTTTTAGGAACCCACAAGGGGCTCACCCCAGAAAACCAGCACTGCATGTAATAAAATGCCAATTTCTGGGTGAGCCCCTTTGGCTTCCTGACTCCCCACTCTTCCCTAGGATGTTTCATTTGCACATCTGCTCCAGAACTGATTGCTCTAGCCAGTGGACAGACAACCCCCCCCCTCCCCCTCCCCCTCCCCCTCCCCAGCCCCCACAAAATGAGTGGCAGAAGTGGGGTGAATGAGTACGCACGCACTTCTTTCGAGAGATTTGATTGTTTACATTGTTGGGGAGTTCATTCAGTGGATTGTGAGGCGTCAGTCTTTTTGAATTCCTTTAGTGTTCTGTATTGGTTTGCTGACTTTCTGGATGCCTTCCCCGATTAAGTGGCGGAGTGGCACCTGTTTCTCTGTGAGGGCACCAGGTTCTGACTCTGGTCTTTGGTACACTGAACTGAGCTCCATGGCTAATGTGACAGTAATTGGGAACCATTTCAGCATTATAGCTTCAGGGAGCCACCGGGGGTCGCCCAGAAATTGGCATTTCATTACATTTAATGCTGTGGGAAATCATGTCAAGAGTTCTGACTGATAGACTTATGACAAAATTAGGAATGTATCTTTGCAGTTAGATGGGGATTCCGTGCCTGCACTATACTATGTATGTAAAATCATATTTTCCAGTTCATCATAAAGTAAGGGCTGCTTGTTTAAAAATTGCATTTAATGTATCCTTTAAATTTGTTTATGTAATTTAATTATTGTAATTTATTTTAATTTCAGATACTCACCTAGCCGTGTAACTGCAGACGATGATGATAGGGACCCTCCGGAACTTCCTCCAATCCCTAGTGTTTCTCTCCCTGTCACAGTTCCTTCTCATCTGACTTCTACAGCTTCTATTTCATCTACTACTGTTACTACAGCTGATGTTAAGACTTCTTCACTTAATTCTACTACTAGTTCTACCGACATTACTTCCTCCACTTCTGTATTATCATTAGATACCCCTCTTGGCACTACAACTAATGATAGCCTACCGGTGATACCTCCTTCCTTTTCTATACCTATGCCAGCCACTCCTCCCTCTCCTCCTCTTCCTGATGCAGTCACATCTCTTGCTAAAGGTGGTGTAAAGACAAACTTACCAAAACTCTTGGGAAAACAAGAGGCCAAAAAGAGACTCCTGGCTTTCTCTGGGAAGGGAATGAAGTTATCGTCGTTTTCACTTGCCAAAACCACGAAGCCCTCTGCCAAATCTGCTCTAGGGGAGGAAGAAGAGGGGCCTGACAAAAAAGATAAGAAACAAGGAGCACAAATAAAGAAGAAAAAGAAGGAAGAGAAAGTCTCCATTATTGAACAAATTCGTGATGAAGAGTCTAGACTTAAAGAAGCTCTTGGCTTAAAAAATATGTTGTTTAATCCATATGGACCTGGTTTGGCTCCTGTAGCTAAGCTACTCGATAATCCAGAGGAGTTAAAGAGGTTTGAAATAAAGGGAAAGTCTATGAAGCAGAGGCTAGAGGAATATGAAGCACGACAAGTTGAGCGTGTCAGGATGAAAGAAAGATCAGTATACGAAAGGAAGAAAGAAAAAGAGAAGGCCATTGAAAAGGAAAAAGAAAGAATCAAAGCAAAAGAAAAGGAAAGAGAAAAAGAAAAAGATAGGAAGGCTGATTTGGCAGCTGATAAGAAGAATGAAACAAAAGTTAAAGAAGAAGCTAAGAAGAGGCCAAAGCATATGCCAAAATCTTGGAAAGAATTCAAGGCAGAAAACTTCAATTTTGAGCTTTTGAAGCAGGTTCGTAAAGATCTGCTCAGAAGGCGCAGCAGGTCCCGAAGCCGTGACAGGGATCGTAGACGGCGCAGCCGCAGTACTAGCCGTGAGAGGAATAGAAGTGGGAGAGGTCCCGATAAATATCCTATATATGAAGAAACTAAGATTATGTACCCAGTTCGAGCTAAAGCTTTAAGTGAAGGTGAAATCAAGGAATACCCTGCACAGCTAATACATCATACTACCACTAAACCATCCATTTCATTCAGTATCAACTCATATCGATACAAGGCTCATTATTATACACGGCATGAATTGAGGAGTAAAGAATCTCGGGAGACATGGGAGATTCTAGAAAACTTTTGGGCATTAAAAAATAAAGCTTCACAGGAAAGGAAGAAATACAAAGAAAAGGTAGAGTCAAGACCTTGGTTTGCTATATCTTGGAATGAGGCAGAACTTTCAACCAAAACTGTCATTGAAAAACAGGTTCAGGAAGTAGCCATTGCTGCTACAAAGTCACGATGGGATTCAGATAGTGAGGAAGTTGAACATCAAGTTCCTGAAAGTGTTAAAGATGATATAAACGAACATGAAGAGGATCTCAAAGATGAAATTGAAATAAAATCAGAACCTCCCACTGTTGCCGAAGATGAAATTCCTCTCTCCGAAAATGATACTGATACAAAAAGTGAAAAGCAACAAAACCCTTCGGGTAAACCTTTCTCAGGAGATCTAACGGAAGAGTATGAGGCATTCATGCAAATGCTGGATGGTGGAATGCCAGTCAACAATGAAATGGAGATGCCTGAAGAAAAGGTATCACTTCCTTTAAATGAAGGTGAAGAGGAGGAGGAGGAAGAAGGAGAGGAGGAGGAGGAGGAGGAGGAGGATGGGGAGGAGGAGGAAGAGGAGGAGGATTATGATGAGGGAGAACTGGAGGAGCCAATGGAGGTAGAAGAGGAGGAGTCCATGTCAGTGCATGAAGAAAAAGATCTTGACGAGGAGGAATCAGAAACTGAATCTAAATCTGATGATCATTCTGATGGAGATGATAATGAATATCAAAAATCAGAAGACAGTTACTTGTCTGAGAAGGAAATTGAGAAAATCGATGAGGAACCTGTAGTGGATGAAAAATCTGAAAAAGAAAACAAGAAGAGACTTGAAAAATTAGATAAGAAACGAAAAAAACAGCTGAAGAAAGCCAAAAGAAAAAAGAAAAAGGCTGAAAAGAAAGCAAAAAAGAAAGCAAAGAAAGAAATGAAACGAAAGGAAAAGGAGAAAAAAAAAGCAGACAAAGTCAGTGATCAAAGCGACTCCGCAAACTCAGAGGAAGACAGTGACTCATCAGTTGGTCGGTCAAAAGGGGAAATAGATGTAATGTTTGATGAGAAGAGAAGCAACTATCGCGAGAGAGATTATGAAAGGAGAGGAACATTCCGGGATAGAGGTCGGGGATGGAGAGGTAGACCAAATTATAGGAAATTTCCTTTTGATGGAAGGAGAGGAGGTTTCCGTGGAAGACACGACTGGAGATATGGCTATCGTGAAAGAGGATATGATAGGAAATATGAATATGAGGAGTGGAGAGAAAAGGGAAATGAAAGACGAGAGTTTTCAAGAGGAAGAAGCTATGATAGGAAAGACGATTCAGAAAACTGGAGAGAAGTAAGCCGTGAAAAAGGAAGCGAAAGAAGAGAGTTGCTTCGAGATAGAGACAGTGATAAAGAGGATGAAGAGTGGAGAGATTCTGCTCGGGAGAAAGGTGAAAGGAAGGAATCTTTTCGAGACAGGGAATTTGACAAGAAAGATTTTGAAGACTGGAGAGAATTAATTCGTGAGAAAGGCCATGAAAGAAGAGAAGCCCTTAGAGAAAAAGATTTTAAAAAGAAAGTTGATCGTATGGAATGGAAAGATGTGTTCCGTGAAAAGGGAAATAAAAGAAAAGGATACGATGAAGAAAGGAGCTATGACAGAAAAATATCTTCTGATAATGAGAGTGAAATTGTCCGTGAAAAGAAAGAGACAACCAAAACAGTAAAATGTGGTGAGGAGGAGGATTACAATGATCGGAAAAGAAGGGCTCCAGAAAAAGAGTATCATGATTACCAAGATGATGATGATGATGAGGAAGAAGAAGACGAGGCAGAGGAAGAAGAGGCAGAGGAAGAGGAGGCAGAAGAAGAGGAGGCAGAAGAGGAGGAAGAGGAAGCAGAGGCGGAGGAGGAGCACGAACAGCAGGAAGAGGTGTATGATAGTCCTTCGTATACGCCTCCTAAGCGAACATCAGAGAATGAAATTGAAATTGACTTGACAGCAGAAGATGAAGACATAGAAGATAAAAATAGTGACACCTCAGATGATGACAGTAGAGAAGAATTAGATTATGAGGACTTGGAAGATAAAGATGAGGAACCGCCATCTCCTATTTCATCACCAGAGTTGCACATAGAGCCAGCAGATGAGTCTTCAGATGATGAGAGCATGAACAAGGCTAAACACAGGAGAGAGAAAGACAGTATTAATTGGGATCAAGAAGAATCAAGTGGAAATACCAGTCATTCGTGGAGATCAAGAGAGTCACCTTTACATTACAGCTCACCCAGCATCTTGAGAGAGTCTGTTAAAGAGAGAGAATCTGTTCGGTACCCAACAAGTGACACCTCTGGCTGTTATGATCTTAGTCCTTCATCCAGTCTTGACTCAGAGTCTAATTCAGAAGTAGCAGCAGATTCCAAACCAAGAGTGGCTAAATCTTCTCACGAATCACCTGCCATTAGATATCATGAACAGAAGAGAGCTGTTACTGATGTAATGAGCTTCAAACTGGATGATATTCCTTATCCACCAGCTGGTTTTGTGTCCAATAAAGAAAATAAACGTGAAGGGTCGACTCGGAAAGATAGTGAGCGATACAGTCCATCAAACATGTCAATGTCACCCAGTCCACCATTGTCCTTTCCTGCCTCGCTCTCACAGTGTGGCTCACCCAATGTGTCTACCTCGCCGCCACCATCTCCTTCACAAATTCTATTCCCTTCCTCTCTTGAGAATATCCCAATACCTCCACTGCCTGGTGCTCCATCCAAAAGCCATGCTTTGCCTGTTTCTGATCCAAAGAAAATTCCAATGCCCCCATCTGGAATACCATTGCCATCTGTACCACCTCCCAGTACTAGCTCTCGAACTCCTGGTATTACCATGCTTTCTGTTCCACCACCTAGTGGACGTGTAATTTCTGCAAAGACTACTGTACCATCTACTTTTTCAATTTCATCAGTTGAGCAGAATAAACCTGTGCCATTGTCTGTTCCACCTCCAGGTAAAGAAGCTATCTCTGCTCTCTCATCATCTCTCCCGTCAACTGGTGTCCCTACTGTACCAGTACACTTAGTAATGCAAGCATCCCAGACTTCTGTCCCATCTTCAAAACTGACATTTTCTTCTCCACTACCTTCTGGTCGTCCCTCCTTTATTCCACTGTCTGTTCCTCCTCCATCAGTTAATCTATCAGTCCCTCCACCATCAGTTCTTCCAATGACAGTTCTCCCTTCCATTCCATCTTTGTCAGTACCACCTCCAGCACTCCATACTCACTCAGATTCTGCTCTTTCAGCTCCTAGTCCTGATCTTTCAGTTGCATCTCCCACATCATCAGCTTCACCACCACCTTGTGAGAATTTGGTTCCTCCTGTAGTATTGTTATCTCCAACAGCAATTCCTGTGCCAAGTTCAAAGCTTGAGGCAGATGAAGACCCTGATTCTTGCAAAGCTAAAGGGATTGATCTGGAACATTCCCCTGATGAAGACAAATGCATAACTCCTACTACAAAGCCAGTCATTACAAGATGGATTGAAAAGACCACTGAAGAAGCTCAAGCCCAGGATACTAAATATGAAGAGTCTGTAATTAAAAGTTCCAGATCAATGCCCATTACATTTAGGTTGGGTGCTTCTAAGCAGAGCAATGTGAAGCGTTTACAGAAAGGATTATTACCTGAATTTCTTCATGAAGAGGAGGAGGAGGAGGAAGAAATCCTAAAAGCAAAAGCAGAAGAGGAAGACAATGATAATGTGGAAGAAACTTCTGAAACTACATCTGAGACCTGTGAGCCTCAGAAGCCATCTCTGGCAAATTTAAAAATTTGGGAGTCTCCAACAGATGACCGTTCAGGAGACAGAAAGGTTAAGGAAAATGATTCACCGCCAATGCCATTATCTGTATCTAAAGGTAAAGTTCGAAGATCTAGATCACGGTCCCCTCGAAGGAGTCGGTCATCACAAAAAAGCAGATCTCCACAAAGAAGAAGATCGCCACATAAAAGTAGTTCTCCAGTAAGAGATAGGTCACCTCCAATAGGACAATCTCACGAAAAAAGTAAATCTCCAAAGAGTAGCAGAATGCAAATAAAGAGCAAATCACCCCAAAGAAGTCTATCTCCAAGAAGAAGTAGAACACCAATGAGAAACAAGTCTCCAAAGAGAAGTAGATCACCTCGAAGATCTAGAGATTCAAGGTCTCGTAGTTGGTCTCCAAGAAGGATAGGAAGCCGGAGATCACCTGAAAGGAAAAGGAAAATGTCGCCAGAATATAAAAGGCAACGTGGTAGTCCTGAAAGAGGTAAGAAAAGGGATCCTGGTAGTCCGCGTAGATCAAACCGAGCTTTTCGTGATATTAAATCTCCTGTTCATTCATCTGGAATAAGGTCAGGGAGGGAAAAGCGTTCACCCAAGCGTTTCCAGAGTCCCAGCCCAGTACCAATTAGGGAGGAGAGAATAGGGTCACACTTTTCAAGTCCTGAATTAAGACGTAGCAGGAGTCCAGATAAAATTAGAACTTCTGTTCATGGACCAAGAACTCCTGAGAGATCAGGAAAGGATGGACCCAATAGGTCACCTAGAAGACATTTTGCTTCACCTCTGCATGAAGGAGGATACCATGGAGATCATGGAGTAAAGAGGCTAGTCAAAAGAACACCTGATAGATCCCCATCTCCAGGGATGCGTTTGGATCAGAGGTTATATTTAAGTCCGCAGGGTCACATGATTAGACAGGATTATAGGTTAAGCTGCAGCCCTGACTCTAGGAGTCCAGATGGACGACCAGTTCGCCATCATAGTCCTATTCATAGAAGTACTCTCTGGAGCCCTGATAGACGTCATCAGAGTCCAGGTTGGAGAAGTCCTCATTATAGAAGTCCTGAGCATCGCCTACAATATTCTCCAGGAAGAGATCAACGAAGTCCTCAGCGCCGTTGGAGTCCTCACAGATCACCACTCAGGTCTCCGCGAAGAATGCCTCATCACAGGTCACCCCGCAGATCCCCTCATAGGTCACCTATGCGTAGATCTCCATCAAGTAGGTCACCCATACGTAGATCTCCTTCAGGCAGATCACCTATTCACAGATCTCCATTGAGAAGGTCTCCATTGCGAAGGTCTCCTTTAAGGCGATCTCCATTAAGAAGATCACCATCAAGAAGATCGCCTTCAAGAAGATCTCCTATGAGAAGATCACCAATGAGGAGATCTCCAATGAGAAGGTCCCCAATGAGAAGATCACCGATGCGAAGGTCACCTTTGCGTAGATCGCCCCCATGTAGGTCTCCACGAAGATCTCCAAGAAGATCACCTCGAAGGTCCCCTCGCCGCTCGCCACGTAGATCTCCTCGTAGATCTCTCTCACCTCATAATGATGACTTTGATTATGATCGCCATGAAAGGGGTTGGAATAATTGGAACTGGGAACGAGATAGAGACCAGGAACAAGGTCAAGAAAATAAGGAACATGAGCGCTGGTCTGATCATGCTCATAGCCCAAGGAGTAAGACTCAAATAGAACCATTCTACAAACAACATAGCAAAAGTTCAAATCGTAGTGAAGGCACCATTAAAATTGATGCAGATTCTACCATAAGTGATTCTGAGCTCACAAGGAGAGAACAATATGGTCGTGCCACGAGGGACTCCTCGTCTTCATCTCCACGGGATTCGCCAAGGCGACTTACTCTCGATGAGCGACTGCAACAAGAACATGGAGTAGATATTGAAGAGGAGCGGCAGAAACAATTACAACAGTCACAGCCACCACCACCTATTTACAACTGGGGCTACCAAGGACGCCCTCTCCAGGTAATTATATTTTTCTTTCATAGATAAAATCAAGAATTTTAACACTGTATATAAATATAGACAGAAGCATGTATTGTGTTAGGAGGATAAGGTAGAGTAAGTAATAAAAATGTCATGGAAAGATGTGGAAAACATCTGTGAGGGGGGCCAAGTTCTGGCTCCATTCCTCAGTAAGACTCTAAATCTAGATGTGTGATGTAATCCAGTAGATGGTAACTGTCTCGGCTTCAGGAAGCCAAAAAATAGTGGCTCTCATATGAACCTATAGGCCTTCTGCAGTTGTATTTATTATGTTATTTAGAAAATTTAAGTTATTATTTTAAACTGGTAAAATTGACCTTGTATGAGCTAGACCAACACATCTTCCAACAACTGTTTGCTAAGCTGACAATAGTTCAAATGCCACATCAAGCAGCAGTTTATCACCAGTCACATGATTAATTTTTCTGTCATTTTAGGTTTACACTCTTTAATACCTTTATTTCTTTTGTGTGTAATGCTTTATTACGAAACATCTGCAGTGTACTTATTAATGTCATCTTCAGTGTTGGGATGAGAGATTTATCAGTGCAGTTGTTTCTTAGGTATTAAGATAAAATTAATAAGGGGGGTATTACCATATTTACTGTGCATTCACTAGTGCTTTTATTGGCACTGTCTGCCAGGTGCATCAATTTCACTATGCATACGATGGTGGTGAAGGAGGCAGTATGAAGAGCGAAGGTAGTGGCAGTGAGGGTGCATCTCGAGTCATCCAGGTGGGCAACATGCTCCAGGTTCTTCCCCAGGATCCTTCAGCTTCAACTTCACACACACCCATGATTGTACAGACGGGTAACGTTATTCAGGTGAGTTCTTCATTACCAGCTTAAAGGCAAATGAAAGTTATTTAGGATACCATTTGATATCCTGGTTGCTTACCTATGATGGCAAAGGGTGTGTTTGTCTATTCTGTACAGTACTGTACTGTATATTCATTGACAACTGTGGAGGTGTGCAGGGTGGGGTGAAAACGGAGGGCTGTATTTGCAGTCTACTCTCTCTTTGTCTGTTACATATATATCGAAAGAAGTTACCACAATAAAAAGAAAAATATAATTTATACATAAACGTGCCTATCATTACATGTCTTTGCCCCCTTTTTAATTTGTTTATGTGCTTCTTGAGATATGGGCACCACACCAACTGCTGCATATTCCAATTTGGGGTTCACAGATGTCATGAACAGGTTCTTCAATATTTCTTTGTCCATATTTTAAACTCTGCTCTGATTTCTTTTATTTGTGGGTGGGGTGTTGGGAAGGTGTTAGGTGTACATGTGAGTTGACAATACCAGATGTCTGAAATATTTAAGAATTTCCAACACAAACAGTTCCAGTAACTATTAGAATGTGTATACTTATTTATATTACTATTGGAATATGGTTGATAAATACAGTTCATTAGCTCATTTAGACTATCAGGAACTGTTACTGGTTCCAATCAAAATCCAGCCATAAGAAAGTAGACCATCTCTTTTCAGCTGTTAAATATTTTGACTGGGCGAGTAATTTGATTACTGTACCACTAGGATACTTCAATTTTTCTTTCAAATACCTGTATATATACTCTTTCCTTTTTTGAGCATTTAAAATTTAACTTTATTGTTATTGTTTGCTATTTTGATTGCTGCTCACTGGGTGTGTTTTTATTTGATTGATAATTTGAGCTGCTTTTAAGTGGATAAACTATTGACTCTTGCCATGGCAGCCTATACATTTTTTTAATTAATTGTACATTTCAGGTGGTTCCAGCAGAGAACATGCAAATGCTTGGAACGGAAGTGATGCCAGGTATTCCGGTGTCTAATAGTGGAGTGGTGGGAATGAGTAGTGTAATGCAGGTAGTTACAGGAGGTGTAGTGGGGATGTCTGGATCATCACCAGGTCCGGTTCCAGCCCCTGTTGTATCTACTCCTACCCCTCTGTTGACGTCACCCACTGAAACATCCACTGTTGCCAGGTCCTCCGTCCCATCTCTCTCTTCGTCAATGCCAGTGCCTGTCCCATGCTCTGTAGATTCACCTATTGCTGCATCGTTAACACCTCCCACCACATCACCCTCAAATACTCTTACGGGTGCAACACAGTCCTTACTCACCCTGTCACCTACTCATGCTGCAGGACTACCAGTTGCACGAATAATATCTCTGTTACAACAGGTTTGTTTACTTATATTTTTGTCATTTTGAAAATTATAGTCACTGTATTGTTAATGACATAGTATAATATGATTGTAAATGGTAGTGATATCATTTGCTTTTTTCTCTGAACTTCATTTCAATTGACTCATGAAAAATAATAAACATGGATAGTTATTTTATTGCTATACATGTCCAAACAGCAAATGCCAAGCATTGGTGAAACTATGATAGATCCAGAAGTTGCTGCTGCAGCGAAGGAAAAGGCAAGACAAGAAAGGCGTGAAAGGAAGGAAAAACGAAGACTTGAGAGGGAAGCCCGGCGTGAGGCAAGACAAAGAGAGCGTGAGCGTCTTTTGTTACAGCAGCAGCAGCAACAGCAGGAACAGGAGCAGGAGGAAAATGAGAAACAATCTTCAGATACTGAAGATGAAGTGCTCATTAGAGTAAGTTGATATGCAGGCATTCAAAGTCTGATGGTGCTGGGAAAGGGAGGGGTCAGTCTTTGGTAGAAGATGTCACCTCAGAACTCTCAACTATATTACTGTATATTTTGTCACAATCTTAGAAATCTTATTTTTCAATGTGGCATAAAGTTACATATTTTATCTGAATGCCAAATGTAGTATTCAATGTAGGACAACATCACACAGTTTATAGCTTGCATAAAAATATAGGAAACATGAAGTCCATTTACTATGCATTCTCCTATTCATACCCAACCACATCTATCTATATTCATACCGCACTACATCTATGTCTATAGAAGAGAATGTTTGTCAGTCCAAGGTTGGAGGCCAGACGTTTTAGGGGCTAGCCTCACCCAACTTTCACACATGAAACATGTGGAGTATAGGAGTGTCATAGACAAGTTGGAGTTGCCTCCAGTGCCATGCCTTTAGAAATATTGGCATCTAAACCCCCCCCCCCCCTGTGTAATTATTAGGAAATCAAGTATGAAATGCAGGTATTGGTTGTGTTGTCCGTAGACTTATTCAGCAGTTTATTCCAAATAAAATTTCCAAGAGAGAAAGACAGATATGGGAGATTGGGGAGAAGGGGATAGGGAAAACTAGATGAGAGAAAGAGAGGAAAAGGGGAGAAAGTGAGAACTGGGTACAGCCAGGTACCCCATCTAGTGACATCCAAACCATAAATCGGAAAGTGAAGAAATGATGGCTTTTCGGTCTGTTCTGAAATGGACTTAAATGTTGTCGTTTCTGTGTAGTTTGGATATACTATCATCTGCCATGGTATTGTGACTAGCGATGACGAGGATTCAAACAAGGATACTTCTGGTTTCAACTCTTTTTGACCATGTCGTAGCTCAGTCGATTAAGGCAGCGTCTGGGATGCTCCCTGACATAGGTTCGAATCCTTGTCACGGCCCTTGTGGATTTGTTCGTGAGTATATAGTGTAATAACAGCACAAACAATATGGTGAGAGGAGGAATCGTAGTGAGGGAGGAAGGCAGCACCAGCTGGCTGTGTGTGGCGACCTCTGTTATTTGTCTGAACTGAGGTTATTTGTTATATTGAAGGGAATTTGTTAATTTTATATTAGTGCCCAAATCTAAATAATACCTAACAAGGGCAATATGAAGTTGAAGAATAACATTGGATGTCTTAATTCTAACTCTTCTACACATGGATCCTGTATCTTATTTGGTTTATTTAAATCATTTATGTATGGATTTCTTAGCTTATGATCCCTAATAATCATCATGGCTCCTAGATACTTGGTAATTTCAGTGTTGGTCAGCTGATATCATCTAGCTACATAACATTTGCTACAATGCAATACATCTGCTCACAATGCTACATTTTCAGCATGAAATTGTATTAGTTAATGTATTTGCAGTTTACAAGTTTATCAAAACCTACTATAGCAATTTTGAGTTTTTGTCTGAGAATATTTTCTGCTCTATTTTAGTGTCATGACAGTTTTACAAATTCTGACTCTAAAATCCTTCCTTTTAAATAACCAGGTCATAATCCAGTTTAAGATATCCTCTACAGTACCTTGCGCTTCTGACTTCCTTTTCAATCTTTCATGAGATACAGTATCAAAGGATTAGCTAAAGTTTAAGTATATAATTTGGCAGTCTTTTTCCACAATTGACTACTTTAGACATGCCACAAAAGAGTTACGGAAATTTGTTAAAACACAAATGGTATTTAATTAACTGATATGACCTATCGGTCGTATCATATGCAAGTAATCTTTCTATTTCTTGAAAATATACATCAAATTAGCTTATCTTAGAATAAAATTTGTATAATCAACTCATCTTAGATTCCCATATTGATGTTCTTTTTAAGAGACAAGCAGACAAGCATGCCTTCTTCATTTCAGCACGAACAGTTGGAGCTGCTTCACAAAACTGACACAACTTGCCACGTAAAAGTTTCTTAGCATATTTATCAGCTTTTTTTGTTTGTTTGTATATGCAAGCTGATACAGGAACTGATAACTTGTGACTCCTATTAGCAGGCTTTGAGCTTTCCTTTCCCATAACTCACCTTAAGTCTTACCCTACTAGTTTTCCCAGCAACACTTTCCACTGGGGCAAGTGTTCTACCACTGCTGCAGGAAATGCAAAGTCTTGAAAGCTTTCATATGAAATACCTTTAGAATACACAGAGAAATCACAGTAATGTGTCTGGGAATACCCAGCACATAGGATCGAATCCTCATCACAGCTCCTGAGGATTTTCACATACCTTTAGAATATTCTTTGTGAGTCCATTGCCTCCAGAGAGAGAGAGAGAGAGAGAGAGAGAGAGAGAGAGAGAACTGTTTCCTGGTAAAGCAAAGCATGAAAGGACACAAATGGATTACCAGCAGTCATCCACTTGACATATTCACATATAATATATGTTCTTCAATCTTCAATGCAGGAAGCTATGTCCGAGGTTCCGGTGATAGGATCTCCTGTGCCAGAATATGAAGTTATTGGAGACGACGACGACGACGATGATGACGACGATGAAAATGGATTGAAGAAGAAGCGTCGCCTCCCTCCTGTCCCTCTCCCTCCACCTGATAAGGGAATTTTAATGAGTCCAAGTTATAGGTATGTGTTTTAGTTAATTTCATCATTAATCTTAATATGTTCATGTGAATGTGTGCACGTTTGTGTATATGTCTGCCTATATCTGCTACATTGTTTCTGCAGGAGCACCTGTCAAAGGGGTGGCCATGACAAGGTCTCCAAATAGATTTATCTAGACATGAACAGGCCTGTTCTATACCCCTAATGGCATCCTGAAATCTATTAAGTGATTCTTTAATTTCTCTTTCTATAAAGTAGGCTGTCTACCCATCATTATAGACACCTGTACTTCTGTATATCTTCCTACATGCCTACCATCACGTATTCTCTCCGGATGTCTGAACAATTGTAATGCATTTATATTTTGACTCGCACTTCTACGCCATGCCTCTGGCTTTTTATGTCATCACACATATTTCATTTAATTCTACTTAAGTTATTTCTCCTTATGTCTTATTCCTTATATAGATCATTTCAGCAGTCTGAATGTTGAAATTTGTGTTGGTTTCTTCCATGTTTCACTCCTATAGGTCAGGGTTGGAAGGAGTATGTTCTTTACATCCATAGTACAATTTTTGGGCTTTTAGAATGCTTTGTTAAAGCCAGATATTTGAATTACTTAATCTCTTCTAATATTTTACTTCCCATTTTGTTCTTACATTCTTCACATTGTTTATTTTGTTGGGTAAAGCAAATCCACTCACCTCTTCAATCACACTCCAGCTTGGCTGCCACGCTGCCCACTTCTTTTAGTCTCGAGATATTTCTGTGAAATATCTTGGACACCAAAGGCAACATTTCACAAGCCCGTCTCATTTTAACATATTTCAGAGCTTTCATTAAGTCTTCTGAATCACTTTTCTGCAGTCTTCTCTTCAATTATTCAAATCATTTTAGTCCATGCATACAAAAACTCCTACACCATATGTCTACAAAAAATCATAAGCTTTTTTCTTGGTTTGTAAATACAATACTGTATTATGCATAACATTTTTGTTGCTATATATACTTCTCCTATAATCTTTACTATCAAATATCAGTGTATTTTCAGGCATTAGCCTGGACAAGTTGTTTGAGCAACATCCAGGTATCTGAGCCTTTTTTTGTATATATATATTGCTAACCCCCCCCCCCATTTATTTTTATAATGTATTAAGAGTTGGAGGGATAAATTGTGTATGAGAGACTACAGTTGTTATAATAGCAATGAATAAGCTATTATGGGAATTTTTTAAAAGGAAAATATTGTAAATGAGTGAAGGAGAAAAATATGCAACTCGAGGAAGAATCGGTTAAATTGTTTGGCTAGTTAGAAGTCCCAGAGGAAGAGCACACATGTATCAGAGGAGACAGGTTAATTAAAGGAAAATATATTAAAGCTAGGGAGGTAAAAGCTGAAATGTGAGATTATATACATATAAGAAAAGATAAATTAATTAAAATTGTAGAGGGTTTTTAAAGGGAGATTGCAGAGCATTGAAAGTATACAAAGTCATGAGGCAAGAATTAAAGGGTTGCTACTCTAGAGCTTAGAGGAATGCAGGAGAGAGAGATGTATGAGAAGAGAGGCTGATAAAGGAGTGAAAGTGAAATGCATAGAAAAGCTGAGAAATGATAAAATAATTGAAATGAAGGGAACAGGATGAGAAGGGACTAACTAATGGGATAGAGAAGAATAAAATATACCAGAAAGAGAACAAGTCAGCATGAAAATAAGACACAAAAACTTCATAGCAGTGGTTGAGAAAACAATCAAAGTAGATATATTGGAGACAAAGTAGGTAGTGCAGTATACTATGATGTAGACGGAAAAGTAGAAGTTACCAGAGTGAGAAAGAAGAACATGAATGAAAAGGAAAGAGAATGATAAGGAGGTAACAGACATCCTATGATACTTAAGGTGAGTGGAAGCAATACAAAATATTGAAAGAATTTTATGGTAGGGATGCTACACGAGATTGAAAAAAATTCCAGTGCACAATTGACGCAGGTTCGAATCCTCGTCACGGCCCTTGTGGATTTGTTCCAGTGTAGAAGGTTGTGGGAGCCAAGGTGTACAAGCTTGTGGGAGCCAAGTGTACAAGCTTGAGGGCCAGTGTACAAGCTTGGGGGAGCCAAGTGTACAAGCTTGAGGGGCCAGTGTACAAGCTTGAGGACCAGCGTACAAGCTTGAGGGCCAGCGTACAAGCTTGGGGGAGCTACTTAGGCTAAGCTTACCCAAGGGCATTTCACTACATTTGATGCCTTATTTTTTGCCACACAAGTGGAAATTTTATACAAAATTCTAAGCATTACTTTCCTTTAAACATACTAGCCCTCCATTCAAACTTGATTACAAAAGCCCTCCATTTGAACATAATCATACAAACTCTCCATCTAAACCTGACCACACGTGCCCTCAATCCAAGCCTGACCACACGTGTGCTCAGCCCAAGTCTGACCACACGTTCGCTCAGTCCAAACCTAACCTTACTAGCACCCCATCCTAAACTCAACACACTCTGCATCTAAACCAGACCACACTAGCTCTATCCAACCCTGACTATACTAGTCTATCCAGACCTGGGTTATACTAACCAAGCCTGAGTACACTAACACTCTATCTAAATCTTTCCAATATACATGTACTCACCTACTTGAGCATGTGAGGAGTAAGCTCTGATGACTCATGTGTGCAATGCAGAGTGAGAGAAAAGGCAAGAGAGATAAAGATAACTCACCTCTATAACTATTGGAGTGAACTAAATTTTTATGTGACGTAAATTTTATTAATTTATTTTAGATTAAGGTTAGTGTGAATGGGGCAATTTAAAATGAAGTTAAAGATGGATAATTGTGAGGCACAAACAAATACGGGTAAAGAGTGGATGTTTGGTAGAAACAAATAGTTGGGTAAAAACAATTACATTTGTGAGGAATAATAAAATAGTATGCTAAAGATTAAGGAATGTGAAGTGTTTGAATATGTGCATGACATTTTCCAAGTCAAAATGAATTGAGTTGAGAACAATGACGAGCTGTGTTGGATGGTGTGTTCATGAGCTGCTTTGGAACGTAGGTGTGGAATAAATGGAACAATAATAGTGATTATATTGGAAAACATATTAATTGCAAGCACAGTATTCTGAAAATTTATTAAATAAGAAACTATTGAATGTAAACTTTAGAAGGAGGAAGATTTTCAGAAATATATTGATTTCTAAAACATTGCTGCAAACATTGAAATTTTTGAAGGTACAGAAGTAGTGGTTGAATTGTTTTAGTAAGAACTATTTATTCATCTTTCATACAGAATGCAAAATCTGCTTGAATATGTGACACGCGGGCAGAGGTGAGCAGAGGAGAGACAAGGTTAAGGTAGAAGGACAGAGTAGGCAGTTTCTTGTAAGGAAGGGATATATTGCCACAAGAAACTATGGGGTAAAAGTGATATTGACTTAGGCAGCCTTTGTTTCATGTGACCAATCCTGGTTTGTATTATAACAAGGCTTGCGGCATGCATTAGAAAATTAGTTGTTTTCTTGTTAATATGCAGTATGTAGATACAAGGTTTGTTTATACATATTGTCTAATTTGGATTGTTTATCTATAATGCTTTATACTGTAGCTGATGGAATTTTCTGTAAACAGCTTCAAGAAGAAAAGCACATTCTTTGCAGGTACCGAGAAGATTACCAACCAAAGGCAGTTAAATTTGCCGATGGTGTTTTGCCAGGAGAAGGTACCTCTCCGTCAGGAGGGGAGGAGATACACTCCCCTCCTCCACCTACTGTCAAGCGTAAAGAGAAAAAGCTGCGCAAAAAACGCAAGGTTAAGGTTAAGATTATAAAATTGGTATGTACATAATTTTTTTGTTTTTTGTAAGTAATATTATTTTTAAAACTGGAGGGCATTATCTTAATTTCTTCAATGAATTAGTTCACACACAAACAACAGGTACCCACTATTGCTCTAGTTAAAAATGGAGGCCATATATATGCTACACATGACCTTCATACTATCTATACTGCAAACAACTTTCAGAAATGTAACCATCTTCACTAGAAACTATCTTCATCACTGTAACCAAGAGGTTGCACCATTTGAGTATTGAGAGTGCACAAAATGCAAATCTGTCATCAGAATGTGCATTTTCCATGTCAGAATCTGAAAACTAGTATACAGTAATACAGTATTTGAGGAAATGAGAAAACTATTGACTCGGCCAAACATTTCGTCTCCAACTTGGTAGCTCCAACACAATAGACCACTTAACAACTTTCGTGTCCCCAGCGTGCTCGCCCCAGCCCACCCCAAGGTGAGCCTGGCATTTTCCGGGAGCGTGCACCCACACTAAAATATGTACTATATACTCTTTCCAGTGTTCTGACCTCAGTTTTCGTGCTACGTTGATCATTTTGATATCAAATTGTTTGCAATCTAAAGGTGCCCATTTTAAAACTAGTACCATAATAATCGAACAATAAATGAAATTTTAACAAATCTTTTAATTTTAAACTAAACATGTATCATCGTCGGACATCTGTAAAGTTATTTATGGACGCAATTTCCGTTTTCGCCGGACGAAAGTGTTAATGGGCTCTGGCAGTGCTACCTAGTGCTTTGGTTTTTGCCCTGGTGCCAGATTATTACCACAGGCCCTGGGCTGAGTGCCCACCAGGCTGTGTGCCAAAATTTCCCTGAGGCTTTGTGCCTACCAGTTCCCAGGCTAATACCTGCTTGACGGGGTTCTGGGAGTTTTTCTACTCCCCAAGCCAGGCCCGAGGCCAGGCTTGACTTGTGAGAGCTTGGTCCACCAGGCTGTTGCTTGAAGGGCCTGCAGGCCTTTATTTTTCTCGCTTTTTCTTTGAACTCGGCCCGCAGAGTTTTCTCAGGCTGTGTGCCTTGTCTCTGAGAGTTTTCCCTGGCCTCATGATTCTTTGTGACCCTTTGTGGGTCTGTGCTTGTATTGATACATAGTCTTTTCCTTTTGAACTTATCTGGTGCATTATTATTACTGTACACTATTAATATTATTATCTACACAAATTAGTGGATATATTGCTATTGTAATTTATCTGCCACTTGAAACATTTATCAGTCTGAGTCATGTATAAATTCATGCACATTGACCAATAGGTAATAGATTAGTTACTATATAGAGGACTATTTTCTGTTGTTCCTATGGAGGTGTTTGTTGCACCCTTCTCCATTTTTTTCACCTATTTAATTATAATTTTAAGATTTTTTTTGTTGTGAATGATCTGTGGTTTATGGGTCTCGTAATACCCATATATTTTCTTAGTTGTTAATATCTTTTTCTGTAAAAGACCATATATGGAAGATTTATATCCATACTAAAGTAGCAACTCTCAAAATTTTGCTAGCAAAGCAAACACTGTAGTTTATATATGCAATGCAGTATTCAGAAGGTACTAGTGTATTAATTCTGTGTTATTTTTCAGTATAACAAAGATGACAACAGTGAAAACTCTCCTCCGCCACCTCCACCCGGCTCACCTCCTCCTTTTGCTGCCCTGAAACTCTATCCTGGATATACCCACTATAATTATACTGCACCAGGAACTGCTGTGATATACACTCAACAACCAAACCAAACATATGGTAGGTTTTTCTATTTATTTGAATAAAATTGCTCATGTTCCACAGATCAGTTTAAATGGTGATCCAGTCAGACATTAAAGGTGTAATTACTGTAACTAATTCACACACACACATCCTGCTTCTAATGTATGTCAATGACCTGACAGGAAATTGGCTCCTTCGTATCAATGTTTGCAGATGATACAAAACTAATGAGAAGAGATTTTATTAGTAATAATTAACTATCATCCTACTTCAAATAGTGAATAGTAAATTGTGGAGGTGTATATTTTGATTCCATCTCCCAGTCTTTACTTGTATGTTATTTGACCTATATTGGTAAATATAATTTTTAGTCTTGTTGTGATGGGCCCAGAATATCTTGAGCAAGATGCTGAAAAAAAAAAATGTATTGAACAAAGAAGGAAGATTACCCACCACATTTTAATGTTTGGATAGTGTTCCAGTATTAGGAAAATAATAGTGAAGAAGTGGTGATTAAATGGAACATTGCAATGGTTGGTACTTTGTGGATGTAAGAATGTGAGCAATCTAGAATGAGACCAGATAATGCTTATTTGTTGGTGAGAAAATCATTGATAGTTCATTCTTCTGATTTACACCTTACATTTTTCAATGTAATTTAATGTCATACGTTATGTTATTGGTAATAAAAAAATTGTGTATCCTCAGCAGCCTACAACCCAAGTGGGATGATCCTCCAGCAGGGAGCTGGGAATCAGTCGCAGGCATCAGTGGGAACGTTAGGAGTACCACCATCTGGTGTTTTCCACTACCCGGGATATGTCTACACAACCGTTTATTCCCCTGGCCAACAGCTACAGTATGTTCTTCCAACACCACTCAAGTCTGAAGCAGCTGTTTCTCCTCACAAAATTAGCAAGAATTAAAAGACCAACATGTATATTTTGGTATGCAAGAGAAGTAATAATGTACATGTATTTTTTCGGCATGTAAGAAAGTAACAGAACATACTATGGTTTACAAAGGAATCTGATTTTCTGCTTATAATTTTAGGAATTTGCAAGATGACTTGCAATTTTGTGAGCTATATAAAATTGTAAGGTAAATATATCTGACATATTAAATAATGTTAAAAAATTCATTTAAAGGAAAAATCTCTGCATACAATTGTGTTTGGCTGTATGTTCATAGCCAGTAGAAGTATATGTTAATTGTTCAGTACAGTGCTGGAAATATTCATGCCTCTACCTCAAATAAAGAATTAGGCAAGCAGACTAGCAATGTGAAAATTTAACACTGAGCCAGACCCTCGTATATCTCAAATACTGTACTATATAACCATAACCCTCTCCAAGCACTGCAGTCCAAGAACAAAACATTGGATTCCTCTGTTAATGCAATTCTCTAGCCTGTGTGCTTTATTAAGTACTGTAATGCCTTAAACCTTCACTGAGGTAACGTGCGCAACCTTGGTAGTTTTAGGTCAGGCATCCATAATGGCTGCTGTGTGTTGGACAGCAACAAATAGTTTGTTTTGAAAATTTGAATGAAAATATTCTGATAGGTTATCAAACCTAAACCTTTCATTATATTACCTAAAATATGATTTGCGCCTCCAAGAAGAAATTAATCCAAGTCTCTGTGTAACAGATAAAATGAAATTGGTAGTTACTGACATTGTTAGGCTATCCTTTAAGAGGCTTACTGTACATATTAGATAGATGCAATATTCATTAAAAAAGGTATAGAAGCAATAATTGTAATACATTTCAACCTTAATTAGTCAAAACCTGAAAGAAGTAATACTTCTCGGAACAAACAATTCATTTCAGAATTTGATCCCATCAGCCAACATAGCGACATTTGCTGTGGTAATTCCGAAACCTCATTCGTTCACGGGGATGGCAGGAATTACAGAAAGTATTGAAAAGAATTGTGATTTACAGCCACTTTAAAATAGTAAAGTTCAACTTAGTGATACTCATTGTTGCAGAGTATTAATGTTTATTATTACAGAATAATAACTTTTTTTTTTTCATGTTTGATAAAGAACTAAAATTTGAGGCGTTACCATTAAATTAAAAAGAAATAGAGAGCATTGTACCTAAGTTGGCGTTTATTTGTGGTATGCTGGTAGAGTAGAAGCATTCCTGTATATTATAATATGGATATTATGAATATTTACTAAGGATATGTCCATCCTGAATTTTATATATATACTGTATTGTACAGAACTTGCATTTTATTGTGCTTATATATAAATATTTATTTAAATAAAATGACCATCATAAGAAAATTATATTATACTGTATCTTTATTCTTGAGAAAATGTATTATGTTGCAGAGTTATGAATCACACCTGAGAAAGGGTCTAATGCATTTAAAAACAAGTCCTCTGTATTTCTTAACTTTGGAGTGCCTTATTCATAAAACATCTTTTTTACCAAGATTAATGTAAGGAAACTCGGTTTGTTGAATATACAGTGAAATGGGAACATAAAGAAGAAGGTTGACTTTACAAGATGATAATCAATACAACAATTGGCACTACTTTGGCACTTGTCATGACATCACTGCTTGTGTGGAATACGCTGCCTGCGTGTGGTTAGCTCCAGAAACATAGAATTCACATGTTTTTTGTAATACTAATACTAAGTTTGTCAGTTGATGAGCATTAATAGCTTTGCTGGAGAGAGTTCTGTAGTTTGTAGTAATAGTTTCGATGATGCAGTAAAAGATATATACCAAATGAGGCACTCATGCTTGCTGTTCTGAAAATAGAGGGGTTTTGTGTGTTTTTGGCAACCTGTGTTGTTTCCTTGCCAATGCACGCACACACACATTATAATTATAAATATATATACAGTGGTACCTCGGTTACGAATTTAATCCATTCCCAGAGACAGCTCGTAACCTGAAAATTCGTAAACTGAAACGAATTTACCCATAAGAAATAATGGAAAATGAATTAATCCATTATAGACTCAAAATTAATCTGGGTCTGTAATTAATCCATTACAGATCCAAAAAATTTACTTCAAAGTAAATTTTTATACTTAATTCACCCAAATCTTCAGTACAAAAGTATGTACAAGTTATTACTTACCTTTACTGATGATTTGTTGGCATATGAAAGATGGGGAGGAGAGGTGTTACTGTTTGGAAGGGAAGTCCCCTTCCATTATAACATAAGGCATTGATGACTTCTTTGGAGTACACACACTAGCACGTTTTGCCTGCATACCACTAGGACCTGGTTGTGGCTCACTGCTTATTTGTCTTGCAAAGAATCTGTCTAAAGACACTTGTTTTTCCCTACATTTTAACTCTTGTCTGTAGTGAGACATCACATTGTCATTTAAAAGGTCACTTGCAGTGGCCTGCTACAGCTTTATCTAGGCGAGTTTTTTCAGCAAAACTTTGCAGTTCTTCCCATACTTCACACATTTTCTTAATGAGGAAGAGACATCCTCTACTGCCTCTATTCACAATTATATTCTTAGGTTGAACCTTACCACTCACTTTCTTGGGACCCATGGCATGATATATAATAATTACTTTTATGTTCAAAAAACAAAAAAGCCCAAAACAATTAAATTCTTTACAAATAATTCAAGCGCGATCGTCACTAAGTGGGCGGCTCTGGTAAACTGGGGCGGGGTCGCCTGTGCCACCAGGAAGCACGCGCTCGGTCGACCCATACGTGTATCAACAAAGTCGTTAGTCAAGGCAAGAGTCGTAAGACGAGTCAAATTTTCCGAGGAATTTGGAGTAGTAAATAAAAAAATGACTAAATACATTAGTGGCATTCGTAAGTTGAGGTTCCACTGTGTGTACACACACACACACACACACACACACACTTGCTGTTTTATACAGTCACTATTTTTGTCTAGTGAATAGACATCTAAAAAGAAGTTTCATTGATAATTTTTAAATTAAACTGGCTACTGATAATTTTGTCAAGGAGATAAACTACATCATTCAGATTGTTGATGTAAATTTAGATATTTCAGAGCTTTTGTGACATGATTGTATAAATAGTAGATTGATTGTATATTCATTTTCCTGCTATTTATAGAATTCATTGAGTTATGAAATGCTTTGGCTAAATTTTAATTTCATTTGTTAATGACATTTGCTGTTTTCATAAAAAAATAGATTATACGTAGTGGAAACAGTGCTAGTTAAAACCACTGCACTGCACAAAGCGCCTTTAGGCGCTCAGTTTTTTTTTTTTTTTTTTTTTAAATAAGTATATTTTTAATGTTTTTTAATGTTTTCATTACTCTTTGTGTTTTGAAATGGAAATAGTTGAGTTTGGAAACATTTTGACATTAACTTTACCTGAATATTTATAAAAACAACAAAAATATGTCCTTGACAATTGCACTAAGAAGTTTTGCCGAAACTAGCTGCGCAGTGCAGTGATTAAACAAAATCATCAGTACAAATATATATATAATGTGTTTCAAAATTCAACTGTGCAAAATAGCTTCATACAAATTTATAGCGACAATTTCTTAAAATTACTTATTTATTTCTTGCACTTTTAAAAACTATTGCATCACTAGCAGGTTAGGGGATCAGTGAAATTGTTGCTGTGCGTATAATAATTATAATTGAAACATATGAAAGGAAACGAAGGTACAGTATTTTAATTGTTTTTCATTTCATATCCTGCCATTTTATTGTTCTTATTATGTGTGTGAGAGATTGAGCTGCGTGTATTTCAAAATGTGTTAATAAAAATGATAAAAAGAAAGCAGTTTGCAGCTAGGAAATATACTTAAAAAGCAGGATACCAATGTGTGAACATGCATTGGATCTTGATTTGATCTTTTTTATGACAAAAAAGTACTGTACTGTTTGCCTGTAAATACACATGCATAGGATCTGCTTTTGGTGGTTCCTATTGACATTTCTCTAGTGTACTGTCTAGTATTACTATTGTAAGGTACACTGATGCCTGACTGTACCTTATAAAATTATAAATATGACCATCCAGGGAGAAAAAATTCATTCGGAGGTGGACGTTCAGGATTTATACATGTAAATATTAAAAGAATGTGTATGGCATTGTTTTATAGCACAGTAATGCTGTATAAGGTTCTACTTCTACAAGTAAATAGTTTTGAATGTATTTATGGATGTTTATGGGTAAGTGTTCTAAATTAATCGTGCATTAACTGTATTGGAAAAAAATTTATACAATGAAAGCTAGTTTAAAATTTATAATATAGTTCAAGCTGCCAATTTTCTGTACTGTGTTGCTTTATGGTACATACCAAATGGTTTACTTTGCAAAGTTTACCATTGGTAAGATTGATTCATTTGGCGAGGTACATTATTCCGCTGGTGAGCATCTCGTATATTGAGGTACAGTTGTTGGTGGAATTCATTAAGCTACACAAACCTTATTAATGAATTTGATTTGTATAGTGTGAATTGTCTTGCGACAATGAGCTAGCTGCATTTTGTTCCACAGCATTTGGAAATTGAACAAAACTTGAATGTGATTTCAGTGATGAGTCAGAATATGTGTAAAAGATAGTTGCTCAAAAACTGAGCTATTAGTGCTGAGATACTCGGGCTGAATTCTCGTGTAATACTGAGGCAGAGTGGTGTATGTTCATGAGATACCGAGGTGATTAGGAGGCTTTGTCAACACTGAATTATATACAGCCAACATCCTTCCTTTTTAAAACAAGATTAATAATTTTCTTCAAACTTTGATTAATATTGTAGTCTTAGTATATACAGTACAGTATCCAATATTTTTTGTCCATTATAAAATAATTAACCCTTGTTTTAATACAGCTAAATATTTTTTATTACTATACGAGTTTTTACCATTTATACTTTCCTGAAAGAAAATGAGCTCTCATTTTATAAATTTTATGACAGTAAAACATACCAGTTAAATTAAATATTGGACTTTTTGTAGATAATTGGTGGCAAAAATTATATCAATTTTGTGGATGTTGATGCCCACAATCCTGACACTTATCCTAAAACCTTGTAAATATGAGCTTGAGCAGATGATGAATGCTACAATAAAAGTTACTGTTAATATTTGTTTTATTTCTTGATTCAGATCTTATGTAATTCAGTATAGCCAAGACTTGTCCCTGAAGATATTTAAAATACAACTGCTAATATTTACCGTGCTTTTAGCCCTCTTTTTATGTATAACCAATAAAGTTTGGAGGGAGATTTAAAATTTTCTAACAAATAGGTTACAAAGGGGCCTGTAAATTAAACCAAATCCAGCCGGTGTTTGGTACGAAGCTCGTTCCTACCACCATTGCTCTCTTCCTTATAGAGGACATAAATCTAATTAGTGTTCCTGTCATTTTGGTGTTGTAAGTATTGGATAAGTATTAAAACTGTTTCGAGGAAGATGGAAAAATTATTTTCTGATATCAACAAAGTCTTTTAATTGATAATAGCTATGACCACCCAATACCATGGTATTGGGAAACGGACATTAAATGGACTATATGACAGAAGGAAATGTGATCTTGCAAATCCCTCTCGCAACTGCAATCTGGGTGTGTATTCACCTAGTTGTGTGTGTGTGAGAGCGTGGACTCCGGGTGCATGTGAGAGTGGACTCCGGTTGCATGTGTGAGAGTGGACCCCAGGTGCGTGTGTGAGAGTGGACCCCAGGTGCGTGTGTGAGAGTGGACCCCAGGTGCGTGTGTGAGAGTGGACCCCAGGTGCGTGTGTGAGAGTGGACCCCAGGTGCGTGCGTGAGAGTGGACCCCAGGTGCGTGTGAGAGTGGACCCAAGGTGCGTGTGAGAGTGGACCCCAAGGTGCGTGTGTGAGAGTGGACCCCAGGTGCGTGTGTGAGAGTGGACCCCAGGTGCGTGTGTGAGAGTGGACCCCAGGTGCGTGTGTGAGAGTGGACCCCAGGTGCGTGTGTGAGAGTGGACCCCAGGTGCGTGTGTGAGAGTGGACCCCAGGTGCGTGTGTGAGAGTGGACCCCAGGTGCGTGTGTGAGAGGACCCCAGGTGCGTGTGTGAGAGTGGACCCCAGGTGCGTGTGTGAGAGTGGACCCCAGGTGCGTGTGTGAGAGTGGACCCCAGGTGCGTGTGTGAGAGTGGACCCCGGGTGCGTGTGTGAGAGTGGACCCCGGGTGCGTGTGTGAGAGTGGACCCCGGGTGCGTGTATGAGAGTGGACCCCGGGTGCGTGTATGAGAGTGGACTCCGGGTGCGTGTGTGAGAGTGGACCCCGGGTGCGTGTGAGAGTGGACCCCGGGTGCGTGTGAGAGTGGACCCCGGGTGCGTGTGTTAGAGTGGACCCTGGGTGCGTGTATGAGAGTGGACTCCGGGTGCGTGTGTGAGAGTGGACTCCGGGTGCGTGTGCGTGAGTACTAGCAATTTACACATATCAATTTGTAATTGACCAAACAGATTTATTAAATAGAAGCAAACATATCA